CGCACTTAGGGATTATAACCCTCAGGCAGTAGAATTCTCCTTTCTGTTTTGCGAAGAAAAGGAGCTGAACACCTTTTGCAGAGAACACCTTTGTATATTTTTAATGCTTACTGGGTTATATCCTATCTTCTTTTGTCTCTCAATCTTTTGCATATTTTGGAGTTTGACAGCTGAACTCCGCCATTTAATTTGCATATGCAACCAAAGTCAGACGCGTGATTTTGAAGGTGTTTTTATTTAATGAATTGTGATGAATTGGTTAATATTAAAGTCGTAAAGCAAGTTATAACAAATCAAGTAAAGTGTAAAGTGAAGGGGAACACAAAAATATATTGGTAAAGTGGCTAATTTAAGCAGAATAGGAGTGATAAATGTACCCTAATTTCCGAATTTTACAAAAAAGGGCATATTTCAAACCCAATTTGTAAATAAATTAGTAACCAACATTTACAAAAGTGAGTGTTAAAATATTGCGTGGACCCTTGACTACAAGTGTGTGAAATTTTTTTTTGGATCGGGCCACCCATTTGGACGGAATAGCCCGAAATAGTTGTGAGCGGTACTAAACCCCACCCCAAAATTCTGTTCGACAGAAAATTCGATAGATATTCAACGAAAATTTCGACACGTTTACATAGCTCAGAATACGAATTTTACTTTCGACCTTCGCTGGCTATCGAATGCAATTCATAATAAGGGCCGCAACCTAACAAATTTTGAACCATCGATGTTTTTCTGCCGATGTATTTTAGCATCGATAATAATTTTTCCGATGCATCGAAACATCGATGTACTGATGTTACTCCCCAAAATTTGCATCCCTACATGGAAACGCCAGAAGCTATCGAAAAACAAATTATATTGCAACCACTCTGTATCTTGTATCGTTCCTGGTACATACATCTAAAATAATTTCACAACTTTGTTACCATTGTTTTGCTGTCAAAACAATTTATAATCGGCTTTTTCCAAGTGCTCAAAGGATCATTGCTTTCAAAGGTCAAAAAGAAAAAAAAAATAATAATTTAAAGAAAAACGTAGTAAAAACAAAAAGACTTGGTAAATAAGAGGCGCTGTAGCAAACAATGTTGCGGCAAATATTGGTAAGCGTTAAACTAGCCTACAATCTGCAGTTAGCAAAAATAAAATTGCGTTTTACAATGATTTGTTGCATAATTCCCTATTGCAGAATTTGAATTGCCGCCGCATTGCATTGCGAACCCAGACGTTTTCATCGAAACTGAGCGGCGGCGACGGAAAAGATAAGTCGGAGGTTTTAAACCATGCAGATGTACCAATAATAGACTACGATGATCCCGATTATTTGCCCCTCCCAGAATATCCACTGCGACCTGACGAACCCTTGCAGGTTCGCAAACAACGGTGAGCTACACGTTTTATTATAGTATGAGATAATGCTGAATCCATGGTAGCCCTATTTTGGTGAAATCTACGAAAATGCAATCACTGAATCCTAATAGCTTTCAAATAATGATATAAATGTTTATAGAACAAAATGAATGTTTCTCTCAATCGTGCATTCAAAGTATACGCTGCGTTCGTAGCTATTTGGATTCAGTGATGCATTTTCGTAGATTTCACGAAAAATCGGACTAGGATGGACCCAGTGAAAGCCCTAATACGGTGTTCGCATGAGGCGATTTTACAGGCCCCTTTTAGCTGACAGCAACAATCGCCTAATGTGAACCCCAATGAAGTTGGGGTGCAGCCAACTTTTGATTCAACTAATCCCCTCTAAAACTGCCTGCAAAATCGTCTCATGCGAATAATTATTCTTTCAGCCTTATATATCAGTCTCGTAAGCGTGGTATGCTGGAGAATGATTTGATATTAAGCACTTTTGTCGCCCGTTACCTAAAGGATATGGATGCTGCACTGACAGCACAATACGATCAGCTCATCAATGGGGTAACCAATGATTGGGACATATATTACTGGGCAACTAATGTTAAGCCAACCCCCCCTGAACACGACAACGACGTTATGCGTATGCTCAAGGAGCATGTGGCTAATTCTCAACGTGAAAAGCGTTTGTGTCAACCAAACTTATAAAGAATTATAATATGTATTAATGATAATTAAATAGTTTTT